GCACTTTTTTACGAGGAATTTAATAATGTAGTTAACAATTTTTTTCAGTCACTAGTTTAGCCGTAATAAGATAAACTTGTATTTTTTTAAATGGAAATCATAGGCGGCTTTGGCAATTTTGAAAAGCTTATTTTTTTCTAATCTAAAAATATATATTTGTAATAGAATATTTTTTATAACTATTTAAAATGTAAAATACATATTTTGTTTGATAATAGTTGGCCATGGAAAAACTATTTCACTCCAAATGTGTAAATAATAATTAATAAGAGTTTTGTAAACTGTAAAATAGATGAATAATAAAATAAATAATAAATAATAAAATAGATACAATTATAAAAAATTTAATAATACAATACGGTAGAAGCATTGAACAAAAATGCGAGCGCCTCTGAAAAAATTATTACATATTTTTAAAAAATCCAAAAATAGGAAAAATAAATGTGTCAACAGTCAACACAATTAGAAAAACATTTTTTTGATAATATAATGGAGGTAGGATAACGTTTCACATAGACGGAATTTGGATATTTGAATAGCCATATCGTCATTTCTGTGTCATATAAAATATATTTTATTGAAGAATTAAAGCGGATTTTTTTTACAACACTATGTATCACTAGAAGTTACAATGGTAATGTTAGCTTGTTTAAAAACAAAGAAATGTTATTAGTCGCCAATAAGTTGATTTACAATTTATTTTGCATTTTTTCATTACTTAGTACTTAGAAAACTCTTTCATTAGTGACACTGGAATATAATACAGTTTAAATCCTTTTAGTTGAAGATGCAACATTTTTTCATGGCCAATTGCGAACAAAAATCAAAGATAATTTTTTGCTAAAAATGTATTATCATAATTTGTTACAAATATATATTTTTTAGATAAGAAAAAAAACAAGCTTTTTAAAAATGACATAGCCATCTAAGATTCCCATTTAAAAAAAGACAAGTTTATTTTATTACAGCTCAACAAACAAGTGAAAAAAATTGTTAACTACATTATTAAATTCTACGTAAAATGTTTTTATTTCAAATTTGTGTCTTCTATAATAACGAAGATATGAATTTTTTTAGATTTCGCTAAAATGTCAATTTTTGTCTATAAGTCGAAAACAAAAGACGATAGCAAGATGCGGTTTTCACCAATATTATTTTCTCAAAAAATGAGCCCCAGAATGTTATGCTTGTTTTTGGCTAAACCTTTTAGTTTCGGAGATTCCCTATTCGGCAGACATCCAAAATGCAGCACCCTGTACATCGTTTACAGTTTATCTGTTAATAATAAACAAAAGCAAAATAGTTTTGGACTGAAACTAAAACAAAATTACTACAAATTAGAATTAAATAAAATTATCGTTTAAAAATTTTACACACATTATAAACAAGATATCCAAAAGAAAAAACCGATAACAAAACCCAATTTCGAAATTGAAAAACTTATAAACTTTAAAAATTACATAAATGTTGGTCAAAATATGAAAGTCCTTTTTAAATCTATAAGATCCAATATAATCGTGTGAAAAAAAACCAGAATTGATTAATTTGTAATAAGTTTTGAGCATCCTTTCAAGCTGCACAGCATTGTGCTTCATTCAAATGCGTCGTTTCCACTTGTCACGTCATAAATAATAAACGCGTCGTCTATCGCCGTTTATTTCCCATCCGTGTAGTGTCAGTCCTGATCTTCCACATTACGAAAATTGCGTCGTGTTTGTCCCGAGAGTTCGACGTTGGTGTTCTTAGCACATCCTTACATTACACGTATAAATGTTATGCTAGTTGCAGCGGTCCCATGCGGCGGATGTAAGCCTGTTAGAGACAGCCTGCGGGAGCAGCTTAGACAACAGACCTGCTGCCCGTATTTGATTAGAGACTTTGCCCGGTCGAGATCCCCAATCCCTCACGTCGTTAGGTCCTACGGACCGTCCCTTTGGGCCAGGATAAGCTCCTCGGAACTAAACCCTAATGCCCCGAGCTACGCGCTCTTCTTTCCGTCCGCTCGAATGCATCTCGTACCACTAAAACCACGTCAATATAAAAACGGATCAGTCTTCTATACGCCACGATGAAAACACACACCGAACGGATTAAGGAAATAATCGGCTAGGAAAAAAAATTCTTAGAGTTGTCGCAAAGAAGTCACACAAGGGATTGAGAAACACGTTGGACGGGATTTCGAACACAAGTTGATTTCTAAACACACATTTTTTAGTCTTCTATCTGAATTTAGAAAACAATTACAAATTTTAAGTAAATTTTCACTACCTAGCTGATAAGTAGTAAATTAAAAAAATATAATATAAAATATAATACATAAAATTATAAATCGTTTTGGAAATAGTATATTACAATCGAGGTGCGAAATATGAGATTACACGGCCAGATTAGTTTATCTGACTGAGTGGCACAGCCTCAAGGTTAGATGAAGCTCTACGAGAATAATACATTTTTTGCTAAGGTTTATATGATATTTTATTTACAATCTCATTGTATTGGAATAATTAAGTATGTTTTTCTAACGCGGTAGATATGCTAACTACTTCTACTTTTAATAGACTTATAACGTTGGCAGTACGCAATAAGTCACTTCCCAACCAAGGGATATATTAATGTATTTCCCAACCTCTAAAAGAGTATTAATCGGCATATTACTATAGTGATTGTGGATAAAAAAATATATACATATTTGTTTAAACAAAGTTTACTTACAAACGAGTAATTTTTATTAATTTAAATGTAAATATACAGGATTCGCCAGAAATCGCGCCCCACAGGAGAATATAACGTAAGATACCAGGAATATGGAATAAAATGTTAAAAAAAATTTATCTATAAAAATTTCGAAGTTAGGAGAGTTTAAATTTTGCACTTTGACTTTATTTATTTCTGTTGAAAAATAATTTTCAAAGTGTTTTTACTACAAGCTATTAGAAGAGGAAACGAGGAAGCTGTATCCTAAATTGTAACTCTGTTTAAGGTTATTTGTGGCTTTTATTGGCAAAATTTTTGTACCTTTACTAAATAATTGTAAAAAAACATATACAAGATCATCAGTATTATTAAATATACATCAAAAATGTCAAATATCAAAAACTAAATGTCAATATTTTTTGACAGATCGAATTTTTTAAACATTTTTCCATGTTCCCGGTATCTTATCTTACTTGAAATTTTTCTTTGGGCCGCGAGTTCTGGCACACCTTGTATACTATTTTTTTAGTTATATGTAGTTGGTTTAAAAATTGTTACTTGGATAATCAAAAGATAAAAAAATGGTACTAAATGGTAGATTTCAAGTCAGACGTTTCAAAAATAATACATGCCAAAAATATCTCTACAAATTGCAATTTTAAATAAATAAAGTTTTTTTGAATAAGATACTACACGGGAGAGAGCGGCTGTGCCGTGAGCCCCACCACTGCTAATCTCTGCTTTTACAAAACAATAAAAATTATTAAAAATAAAATGAAAACTAAATTATATTGTAAATAAATAAAAAAGTGCAAGAAATCGTGTTTTTATCGAAGATTAGTTTAATTTAAAAGGTTTACTTCAACTGTTTATCTATTATTATTAATTCATTCAAATCAAATTAAAAAAAAATATACTAATATTAAAAACTTTTTTCTAACACTAATGTCTTATAAGTACGTTGACTTACTCTTCTATAAAATACGTCATCAATGACAACGTATTTTATAAGTACATAGAACACTTTTATCTTAGCATTCTGTCAATTTTGATAATATTCCTTATCACAATTTCTGAATTTTGCAAAATTTCTAATTCAATATTAGTGTAAGAAAAAAAATTGAATACAACCCAAGTAGTTAATAGCTATTGACGGCACAGAAAAAAAATATTTATAAAAATTGAAAAAAATATTGGGAAGATGTTAAAAAACTTTTTTTATTAAAACTTGTTTTTTCAGTATAATTGCCGGTATTTTGGCAATTAAAAAACTGATAATAAAAACATGAAAAATACTCCCTGAGTGTTAGTACTGCTCATAAATCCCCCTTCTGCCTTGTGCAGTTAAAAACTCACCCAACCTATACACCCTTAAATATAAAAACGATCGCGTTATTTACTTTTGTATTTTACGTCTGCCCCCGTTATAAAATATCACCACGTCCTAATTCTCACCTTTTCCTTTTTATTCCTTTGGGTATTTTTCAGTCTTAATGTTCGCATTATGTATTTTATTTGATATCGTTTCTTCTTGCAACGCTTTTTTATTATCATGTCCTACATCAACATTTCGTATATTTTTTATTTTATTTGCGTCGGTAGAGTTTTTTCACTGTATATGTTCAACTTTTAGCTTCGTTTTTTATTACTACACCCTTGTAGATTTTAATGGTGGCAGAGTTAACAGCTGTTTTTCCTTATCTCCTCGTATCGGAAGTTTTGTTAGAGTATAACTTACCTGTCAACTTAAAATAAGTTGATCAAATCTTGAGTTAAGTGAGTGATTGATGGAAGAAATAGGAGGTGTTAGGAGTTGAAAATGTATAAATAATTAATCAATTCTGAGTCACACATTTGCATTTTAATTAATGTACCGCCCGGTACATTCTCGTAATTCCTATCTAAATAACAAAAAGTGTAAAGCATAATAACCTAATAATAAAAAGACATAAAAACTAGATGCATGCAAAACTCTTCTGTTCTCTATTTTTTGCCTATTTTTCGGATAAAATTGAGAAATCTCGAAATGTGAAAATTAGGCCTCGGCTTGTGCAGCTTTCTCCCGGCATTAACTTTCACATAAAATCGGTAACAGTTGTGTGAGAAGTTTGGTAACATCGTTTCCGTCGAGGGGTGTGTAAATGACACATTTCGTTTATAAAATAGGCTGTGCTGTGATGCAGACAACATTTAAAAAGGGTGACAACATCAACGTGACCAGTGAACGACAACAACAGTGACTAATAAACATTTAAGAAATCAAAACACAACAAAGTGAGTTGCGGAGTGGCATTAGGCCAACGTACCACAAAACCACCATTTGTGAAGGGCTGAGTTGGGACAGAACCGGCCCGAGTCGCCAGCGAGATGGCGCTGCGGTCAGTCCCTGGAACAGATAAAACCAGTCAGTCGATGTGTACCCCCTGCAACGAAATTCTAACCGATCATAAACTATAGGGAATCAAATGGATATTAAAGCACCCGTTTGAGTGCCGAAATGGGCTGTTAAATGCGAGTTATTACAGGGTTGGCAGCAGGGTCAATGACCAGTAAACGTCAAGCGTCCATCTTGAACTTTTACCTAAATAAAAATCACATTGGAGGGTTTGAAATTCCTAACATTTTTCAACAACATGAACAACAAATTAAAACTAGTTCAAATTTGTATTTTTTTGCCTCAGCAGATTTATTTTATCGCACCTGCGGGTGGTAACAAACATAACTCATTTTTTAAATTATAATTTAGCACCCCCTTGACAATTAAAATGCAACTAACAACTTAATTTTGCTCACTTTGCAAGTTTCACCTGTTTTCTCCGATAATTTTTAATTAATTTCGGGAGCTTCGTCAGGGGCGTGTCTAATTCTCTAATTTAGTGGCGGTATATTTGACATTGTTAGTCGACCACGCCCTCGTAAATAAATACCAATTCCTGTTCTGGAATTGATGTAGTGTTTGCGTGGATCAAAATTAGGCCGATTTTTGGCCGCTTTGTTACTTTTATTTAAAAATATCTGTCCAATAGTTTCCCCAAAGCGCCGAGCTTTAAGTCGAAAAGCAGGTTAACTACTCTCTAGAATCAAGCTCGTAAAACCTCATCCGTATAAGTTCACGTTTAATAGAGCTGTAAAAGCGAAGGTCGCTCTAATAAACTTAAAGAGTATTTATTGGATATTCAGTCAGACAACAAGTTTATTGTACATAAACAAATATACCGCTTTTAATTGGAGCCAAAGCTCGGATTTGATGCGTGTCAGGACTTCACCTTGCGTGTAAATCTGATCAATTTGCAAGGATTGAAAGTGGGAAAACGCCCACTGGGAGTTAATTATAGGTCTAAAAGAAAAGTATCGTACATGTTTATTTGAAAAATTACTTCTATTTTCAAGTTGAGCGTGATTTCCTGATTTAGCTTGATTTGCTGCGTGGATGTAAACGCACTTTTACGGCCAGGGTGTGCCAAATTAGATATGTTTCATTTTATTGAAGTTTTGGCGAAGCAAGTTAGCAAGTCAAAAATTTGTTTTTACTCTAAAGTTTATTTAATGTACTAAATGTTTTAAAATAAAAAAAAACATTGTTCTAAGGTTTAAGACACAAGTATTTCTTTTTGTTTCACAAAATATTTATAAAAAATCATAAAGAAACATGAAAAAAATGTTGAAAAAATTCATCTGTAAAAACTTCGAATGTAATAAAGCTTTAAATTTTACACTATTACACTATTTATTTCTAATAGTAAAACAATAATTTTAAATGTGTTTTTCTGCAAACTAAGAAGAAAAAACGAAGAAGTTGTATCCTAAGTTATAACTATGATTAACGCTATTTGTGGTTTTTATAGGCAAGGTTGTTGTTCTTTTACTGAATAATTGTGAAATAACATATTTTATAATTTCTCCATTTTGTGTTTAATGTTCTTGAAAAATATAATAGCCTGATTGCGTAGAAAATGGTTTATAGGACACAGGGAAAAGTTCTTCCTTGACTGTGCCATGCTTCCCTCGCCTAACCAACAAAAATTCTTCGCCTGGAGCAGATACAATTAAAGTATCGAAACGTCGCGACGAATTTAATGTTTTATTTCCCTGTGTCCTATAAACCATTTTCTACGCAATCAGGCTATTATATTTTATAACGAGTACAGAAAGTGAAAGTGGGGAGCCTCACGAGTGCGTTAGACATTTTCCAGCAAGTTTTGTACACTATTTTTCATACAACACTGCAGAGATCATAATTATTTAAAATTTATGTAAAAGTAATATTTTATATCTCAGAAACGACAAACAATTAAATAAGACAAATGAGTTATTTTTGCATCTTTTGTTTTCTACTGTTATCTCCTGCACATGTTTTGAAATCATCCTGCAAATTTAAAATTTGATGTTTCAAAAAATAATACAGACGACCATAAATTTACAAAAAATTTTAACACATAATTAATAAATATTGCTTGCCCGGCGCATCCACCATTTTTAGAATATATTTAAATGCACTAATTTTACAAAACAAAATATTAATAAAAAATACTTGTAGTTTAGATTATTAATTAAGTAACAATTTATTTACAATAGTTAATTATTTGTTTTAAAAGTGGAAGAAAGTAATTTTTATTATTAATTGTTTTCACTGTCCCAGCGCATCCACCATTTTAATCTTAAAACATTGATATAAGATACAGTGTGTCATATGTTTAATTATTTTTTGTGTTTCTAGTTTGAACTATTTTGCTGAAGGTGAAGTGACCCTTTAGGTTCATTAGAGATATATCCTCGTTGAATGGCCCTTTCATCAGGAATTTTGCGTAGTTCCCTCGCCTGGACCCAACCTCCGCTCCTAATATATTTTATTATCCTAGTGTAAGTCACAATAGACCGTATCCATAAATTGCGGCTAGCGTAGGGACTGTATGACTTGACCCTCATTACGGGATGAGTAAGTGTTAAGTGGCCACAGTCGACTAAGTCTTCCTTTCACATATCTTTGATCTATTGCACAGTTGCTAAAATCGCAACAAAGATGTTCATCAATTATTGATATGCAGAGTATCGAGTAATGAACATTGATATTGTTGCTATGTCCGCATGTTTGTGACCATAATTAGAGGGTGATTTATGGAATTAGCGCTACATTACTCACAATTACCATAACGAACCACACCTCTTATTTGTACGTGACCGATACTGAACGACGATTCGTTCGAATGGACTTATTTATCACCGGTTTGGTAGAAACAGAATGGAGGTGCACTTTTAAATAATTACTTAATCAGCTTGATTGAGATTAATTCGTTGTGGCGGAAATTATCGGGGTTTTAATCAGATGACATGTTTCACGAACTAAACCGCAACTGAATCAGTTTGTTAAATTGAAAATCTAAATCAAACTGCAAAATTAAACATCAAATGTCAAAAATTCTAAGCATTTAAAAAATAATTAATTCACAAACCATTCTACGAGTTTGAGTGTAAATCGGTCACATTATTTAAACCACGAGTGTAACGAGTTATTATCCGCGAGGTGGAATAAAGGGTCCGATTTACACTCAAACGAGTTGAACACAACATTTTATTCTTCGAATTAGATTCAACAAGGCTTAAACTTGCTTTAAATCTGTTAAAAATAATCTGACGTTCGTATTAAGAAATGCCAAACAGGTATCAAAACTTCCTTACACGGGAGAAAAACCGTAAATTTTGACAGTGTCAAAGAATAAAAACTATTTTTATACATTTACAATTTTTTTTTATTAATATATCACCAAACAAAACACTTTTGTTTCCATTTCGTAACTTATCTATTTTTTTAAGTCATAATGTTTCTACTTAGTTAGTATTGAAATTTTTCTTAGAAAAACCAAAAAAATTGAGATAACGATAAAAAAGCTCCTTTGCTTTTTTATGCTCTAATACTCTTTCTCTTTCTTATGCTTTGCTCTCTTATGCGTTAATGCGCTTTCTTTTTCTCTTATTATTCTTATTAGAACATGTGCTCATGTTTTAGCGTTCACGCTTTTATGCGCCCGCCATCTTCTATTGCGTATTTAATTTGAATTAGTAAAAAATTGCTGTCTTATCCGAGATTCGAACCTTGGAGCTACCTGCCGGAAAGCGAAACATTATGCCGCTACACCACCACGCCGCCGACAGTCTCAATGTTTTAATTCAATGTATGTACTCATAGATATTTAAATAAAAATTTTCAAAAAATTATTTCTGGCAAATCCACAACGTTATAACACTTTTCTTGGTTTTTTGCAATCCTATGAGTGCATTTAAAGCAATTTTTAAGTTTTTCATTTTTTTCTTTGTAATCAATTTTGGGCACTTTTAATTTTGTATCTTAAAAGAAATCTTGTCCTAAGCTTTTAACAACAAATGACTAATTTTGCGTATTAATTTAACTGTGAAAAATTTAAGTTTTTTCATGATTGTAGAAAAGTATAATTTTTGAAACTCGATGCAAAGACGTTTTATCTCTTTTTTTTTTTAAAACTACTTATTTATCACTAACTTTTGTTTTTAGGCAATTTGAAAATGGGAAAGAATAGAACATTTTTATTCATTTTATCTACTTTTATAACTTCTCTTCAATTATACAATTTTTTTGTTTTTCACACTAAGAAAATGTATGTTCCACCATCAACAAAAATTTAAATAAACATGCTACAAAAAACTCATACAAGAAAATGCTACTTTCCTTCTGATTCTAAACTTACTGTGTAAAATGACAAATTTTGTATATTTATTGGGTTTACCTAATTTTGTCATTTCTAATTTATAGTCTTTTTATACATATTGTAAAATTTACATAGATTAATATTAAAACAAATCTAAAATCTTAAAATTTAATTTTTTTTTAAATTTATGTTTAAAAGAATTTTAAAATTAATCTACTTCTTGAAAATCTTTTTTTTTTTCAACTAAGGCTTTGTCACTTTTTATCACACTGTCAAAGTGCATTCAAAAATATTTCCGCTCGAGTGTTTGCAGTGTCATAGCTTCCATTAAAGCGCCTTCTATGGTCAACTAAATGGCACATAACACATCATATAATATGTAAGTTAAGCTTCGAATATCGCTAAAAGCTCTTTCATATCTATGTTTATTATTATAGCTCCATAAATCGTCATTATTTTTATTGTAGATGTGACATAAAGCCATACCCCGGTAATAAAAATGCTTACATAATCGTGCGCAATTTAACCTGGAGAGAGAAAATTAGAAAAAATAGCTTTCTCGGCGTCATAATGAACGCAAATAAAATTATCACCGTGAAAATATTTCACGAGTTTGAGTAATTAGGGTTGAGGTGTCGAAGTTTTCGTTGAATTTTAAAGCTGCGGCAAGGTAAGAAGGCTTGTATTTGCCTGTAAAGTTTACCAC